AATACTATGTTCGATATTACAGAACTAGTAGGTCTAAATGTCTAATAAAACCGAGTCGGGGTCTTTATTAGGGGGACTCGCTTTCCCTCTATCGCTTCATTCTGGTAATTGAGGGACTTAACATCCTTCTCCAAAGATATATGACTACTTTTGTTTTCCTATGTGAATCATGGGGATGACACAATTAACAACATGTGCACTCTTGAAGTAGTATGAAGTTGCACCCGGCACCCCCAATTGATAATTATCTTTTCTAAATCAATAATTTCCTTTGTGCAAATGTGAAGGCAGGTAATCCAGATGGATTAAAGGAAATGTTACATTACAAAAAATCAACGACTTTGTCACGGATTTTGTCACAAACGATAGCATGAAAAAATCCATGACAAAATGTTTGTCACGGATTTTGTCACAGATTTGGAGGAAATGTTAGGGGTATGAGAATCACATACTTGATCAGTAAGAGAAAGTAGGAGATTTCAAATTTTATTTAGGATCTTGTTGTAACAAGATTGGAAGGTGGATTTTTCTACTCAAAGGTGAGATCTTGGTTGTCCCTACTTTTAATGTGAACATGTTTTTACTCCTTAAAGTCATTTGCAAAGAGATTATAAGGTTAATGAACTAGTTCTAGTGGACGGGTGGGGAGGACCATTGTGTGACATGACGTAAGTGGTACCAAAATTGTACTCGTAATAACTTTGCATTCTTTTCATTTTTTGGTTGTCTCATAACTTTGTCACTTCCCTTTTAAATAAACAATTTATTGTTCATTTTAATTCACTATCCTCTACAGTGACACTTCAACAATACAATTTTTATTTTATTATTTTACGTGCCAGCCAATTTGACTAAATTATAATGGAATGAGAGTAATAAAAGGAAGAAGGTTTGGGTTTTCAGTTTTAATGCTCAAGTAATTCTATGTTTCCATGCTTAGTAAGAAAGGATGATGGCTTTCTCCAAAAAAAAAACATGCTAGTGGGTACAATATTCTGAACTGAGTACTATTCCGAGCAAGGAACAATATGCAGAAGTGGCTAGTAACTCATCATTTCCATGCTTGGTGTTTGTTCTTTTCCTAGTAATATACGGAGTAGTATTGAGCTAGGTAGCTGGCAGTAAGAAGAATAGGACACTTCACAGAAAGACGGTTAATTATATACTCCCTCCGTAAAAAAATCTCTCTTGTCCGTCCCTAAATAAAAGTCTTTTTTTCTTATTTGATAAACAAAAAAAATGCAAAAAATGTTAAATAATGTTCAAACAATGTCTGATTTCTATGTGAAAAGTTACCGGTGGGCATAGCTCAACTGGTAGTGAGGGAGTGCCACAAGGGTTAGGTCCCGGGTTCGAATCCCGGCAACTGCGATGAGAGGTTACTATGCTAAAAATGAATAGGGCCTCTTCAAGTACCGGGGATGAAGCCTCACTCTCTATCTGTCAGATTGTGATTATAGTCCAATTTATATCCTCTCATCGTACTGTCCGATCAGTGTTGGGGGCCCTCAGAGATGGGGTGTCATTCTTTTTTATGTGAAAAGTTGTATTGCTCCAATATGATATATTAGTACGAAATGAGAATCTGAGTACTGATGATAAGGCATAATTGTTTTCCCTAGACTGGAAGCTCTTACACTAGGTCCGACATTGCAGAGTGATAGAGGGGTGCGAATCTCTTCTGTTGATATATGTATGTCTAATTAAGTTTGTTATCTCAAGAAAAGCACAAAACTTAGTGAGGTTTTGGTCCATCGCAAATCGCAATGTCATTGTTTTACCCGGGTGAAATCGACCAGCAAATTCTGCTACTTCACCGTCCACTTCAAGAATAGAATATTCTAATAGTCTAATCTTGGGATTTTTTTAATTAGTAGATACACCAATTCCCAAAGCAAGTTTAGGAGTCTCTTCAACGATTCATATTTTCAATTTATCAATTTTATTTACGGAATATTTATTTTTATTTAAAATATACTAGTAACTTTTAATTTTGCGCGTTGAATTTTGTAACATTGGTAATTAATAAATTTGAAGTTTCTTTTTTGATTTTTTTTTATTTGATTGATTTTATTATTAATTGACAAAATTATGTTTTTATATTTTGAATTGCTTTTTTCGATTAATTGACTAAAATATATTTTTATGTTTTGAAGTTGCTTTTTTTGATTAATTGACTAATTAAAATCATTTTAATTAGAGAATCATTTTTGCTATTTTTTCATGTTTTTTTAATTTTATTAGTAAAATATATTACTCCCTCTGTCCCAAAATAAATGTCCTGTTTTGACTTCACACAGATTAAGGAAATGAATTTAACTTCACACTGTAGCGACATTGTTTGTTACTGTAGCGACACTGTTTGGCATTGTATTGACGCTGTTTTGCACTGTTTGACACTTTGGTATAGATTTGTTTACCAAATATGGAAGTTAAAGAAGTATGACATTTTTTTGGAACATTCATTTTGGGAAAGCAGGACATTTATTTTGGGACGGAGGGGTATTAGATACGGAGTATGAAATTCTATTATTCAACAGATTGATCTAATTTAATTACTTCAGCTAGTATTTCAATAAGTTCACTAGATTAAGTCAATCAATTTTAATGTTATCAAAAAAGCACTAGAAACAAAACTTTGTTTTTCCTAAAAGACATTGTAATAGACATATGCCATTATTATCCTAATATTTTTCTCACTTTTTTAATTAATTGATAAGAGTAGGATTTTATTATTATTATTATTTTACCATAGGATTGTATTATTGTAAAAAGTCGAATAAAAATATGTGTAATGTTTACAGGTCAAATTTACTTTCAATTTTTGTGGGATTAATCAACGGAAATCGTCCTAGATATATAGGACTAATCAGTTCCTAAAAAGCACAAATAGGACTACTACTTTTTAAATTCCCTAAATAGGACTAAACATTGATTTTCTACCCTAAATACCCCTAAGAGTATTAATTCATAATGAAATGCTTTAAATCATAATAAAATCATATAAAACGTAAAAAAAATTTTTAATAAACGTAAAAAAAATTATAAAAAATTTATAAAACATTTATAAAATAAAAAATTTAATTTTTATTTTTTTAATTTTTTTTTTAAAAAAATAGTAAAAACCCATAAAAATGAAAAAACTTATGGGTACCTTTCCCGCCGCCTCCCAGCATCACCACCTCCAATTGGTGAAATTTCTTCCACTTTTGTTAAAAAAAATGTCATCTTTTTCTGAAAATGCCAAAAAATGTGGCATAATTACTCTTCAATATGCCAACATTTTCATTGAATAAGCCATCATTATGGCATTATTTAAAATGTTGGCATATTTTTCTCCGGTGATGGGAGCTGGTGGTGCTGAGGGTGGCAGACGTGGTAATGTTGTTTTTTTAATTTTACAATTTTCTTTAAATAATTTTTTTTTAATTTTTAAAAAAAATATTTTTATTATTTTTCTATTTTTTTTTTTACGATTTTTAGTATTTTTTTCGATTTTTATTTTTTTCTTATGATTTTATTATTAATTAAAACATTTCACAAGTTACAAGGATATATTTTTCCAAACACACATAAATAGTCTTATTAAGGGAATTTAAAAAATTTAGTCCTATTTGTGTAATTTTGCCACTTCTTAATCCTATTTAGGGAATTGACTCATTAATCAAACAATAAGCAAGTTTTCTGGACACGCGACTAATTCAAAGATGAATTCTCGTTGGAACCAATCGATTTTGAAATTTGTGCGTTAATTTGGGAAGCATTTGCTCATTTGCTTAAAGCTCATTATTAGATAATGAACGGTTCCTATCTAAAAATTCAACACGTTAACAGCAAGTCAATGTAACAAAGGTTATTACTTACTTGCTTTATTAAATTTTTTTTTTTTGCCATTAAAATGTAACACAAATCTCATATTTGCATCTTTTCTCGTTTGTTTTATGAAAATAATTACATATATATATAACTAAAACAATATTATTTACAAAAAATGTGACCTATTAAATATAGTAGTAATTTAATCATCATAATTTATGTTTAAATTTTACGCTTAAGTTACTCACTTGCTTGAGATTATAATGTAATAACGATCAATCATATTTTGTAAATAAGCTTCTTTTGAATAATATTTTTAAAAAAAAAAACTTTTCAACGATCTTCTATTCTCCTTTTTCACATTTTCACAATATCCATCACCAATAAAATTTTACAATTAATTCTTATAAAAAACATGGGGTGCAAGACAAATTTGACGTCGCAAATGAGCTATCGCGCACATATTGCTATATTAGAGCCTTAGAGGGGCTCAAGAAGAAAATCAAGTGAAAATGAAAATTGGTATTTTTTTATTACTACCCGGACCCTAGTAGTCTCCTTTAGTATTCAAACAATGAACATAAATGTCAAATCAACTATTCACCCAGTAAACTCGCTCCAGAATCGGACCCAAAAACCCCGAAAAACAAGAAAAAAATTCAATACCCTAATAAGTAAAAATATGTATATATTTAGATATTCATTTAAGAATGAAAATCATGCCAAAACATATTATAAATCTACAATATAAATAACAAATATCAATATGAATTTTAATAGGATCAAAATTGTAGTGTTTCATATGAAAATTGTAGATTATTAAGAGTGTTTCATATGCTTAATAAATACTATCGTATTATCATTAGTTGATTATTATAAATATTAACTACCTTTTATTATAATTATGTATGTAATTATTTGTTTATTATTATTATTATATGGTCGTGTAATTGTTGATCGGTTGACCCAATAGGTCCGAGTTGACCCTGACCCGGTCATGTGGGCGGTCACTTTCCTGTCCGATTTTTAACATACGTGAGAATGTGAGATCTCATTATTATTATTTTGATTACTACTATTACTATTTTTACTTTTTTCGTTACGGTTTCTTAACAATTTTTTGCACGTATTGTTTATAGAAATCAAGAAATGAAAACAACTAGAAATCGAACTTAATACTCCGGAGTAACTAAACTCATTTATAAGAACCAAACCATATTATAACGGTTCGGTTCCACCGACTGTTAATTCCAAAACTCAACCCTATCTGATTTTATCTAGACTGAAACTAGTTCAATTAAAAACATTCTATTTGAGAAAAGGAGAGGTTTTTTTAAAAAAAAAAAAGAACAAAAAAAAGTGACTACAAACTTTTTTAGTCTAAATCTATAATCACCTGTAGTGACCAAGTGCTTGTGATCCCAACCTGAATCCAGTGATTTCGAAATACCAGTAACCCGTGACTCACCAAGCACCACTACAGTGACCCCTGATGGCTCTAGTTACCTTGCCACCAGAGGCTAGCCCACTCGGTGACACTACAACAACAGTGACCAGTACTAACTGTGGCCTCAAGGCCCTCAACAAGTGAATCGAGCAATAAAAAATTGCGACAAGACAATTTCAAAGGATTAATACTTCGATAAATAGCAAATACTTCAAAATTGGTGTTATCTATAACACATGGCACCATCTCGCTCTCGGATTTTCCTTCCAACTTTCTCATCATCATCGACAATCTATAGTCCTCCATCATTTATACACCTCTATAAAAAAATACACTAGATTAGATAATATTGTCCCAAATATGAATTATAAACTAAAAGGGCAAGTTTGTACACTTACTAATTTAAATATTTACTCTGTATTAGTTTTACTTGAGACTGTACAGAGTAAAAACAATTGGACTTGAATAGAGTTGCCCCAAATCAAATGCTCTTATTTGGGCCCTTTCACTCTCCTTCGTAATTACAAACGAACTCAAGTACACGATTTCCAAAATTAAATGTGTTGGACTTTGTGACCATAAATTTGTTGGCCAGTGGTTTAGATGCTACACTTCTCCAAAATTTTGTTCCGATATTCAATTTGTTGGCCAATGGTTTAGACTGCGTCTGAGACTCTTTGATGCGATATATCCATCGCCTAGCAGCGCCACCTTTGGGCAAAAACGTAGCAATCTTTTCCCTGATCTTGATGAGTTGAACACGAGCACATTTCCGAATGGCACTGAAACCACTAAACAAAATTAAACTTTCATAAACATGTAATAAGTGTTGCATATTAATGTGCGTCAAATATATCTATATAAGAAAAAAATAATGTTGTTCAGTTTGTGAAACAAATTTTAAGTATTTACACAGTTGTCCAACTACGTCACATTTTCCAGAAAGGAACCCTTGGGGCTTAGCGCGAGAAAACGCTGCAAAAGGTCTTTTCCACTCATTAATATTTTTGTAAGCCTTCTCAGCCCAGCGTTGCCATCTCAGCTGTTTCTTGTGCTTGAGAACGGCTCCCATTCCACATGTCTTCCTACAATTTTATATACTCCATATAAAGTTAACTGTAAACAACAAAAACAACTTGCACACATATATCCACAAGCAAACTGACATACGAAAGTACATCATATGAACATCGTAATATTCCTCATGAATTTTATTTTAAAGACAAAAGACGTGTCTTAGTAGTCTTACATTACAGAAATCTTAAACCATGTTAATTTATACATCATTTATAACAAGATCAAATATGTGAACCTTATAATTGACTTAACAGAGGAAACAATCACAGAATAAATACAATAGTATATGTCTCAGCTCCACTGTTATGAAACTCCAGCACTCCACTGAAAAGAATGAGCCTAGAACAGTTAGGAGAGATATATGATATAAGTCCATTAGCATTCAAAGCTGATCATTTCCATTTGAAGGGCTCTTCAGCTTTGCCAAGATGGACTTGAGCATTGAATTCTAATATGAGCATGGTAGGAAATAGAGAAGGAATAATAATAAAATAAAAGCGTGAGCTAGAATTAATCGGTGTCTGACCTTGTCAAGACACACAATTAATTAATTTTTCCCAAAGTGTTAATTGAATAATATTGATGACCCTTATATAGCTATTGCAAATGTCCTAATTCTAAAAGGAAATAAATGATACTTCAGATTTTGTCAAAAGCAGAAGAGGAATAATTATAAAAGAAGATAAATGCTAATTAAGAAACTGCCTAAAGCACACACAATAGTAATAGTAATAGTACATAATAATAATAAAATACTACGTAATAATAATATCAGGTTTCTTTGTTCATATCATCACTGCCCTCTTGGACATCAAAGTTGTCTTCAAGCTTCAAGGGAAGTAGGCTGTAGTGTCTGTCTTTACCACGATCAAATGGTAAGATTAGATGTACATTTATCACATTTTGGAGATGCAATTTTTCAGTGCGGACTGCTAACAGATTAAACTACACATAGAGACTAGACACTTCCATGTGGATCTTGTAATTAGGTTGACCTCTTGACTGAATAAATTAGAAAATGGAGTGGAAATTGAATTGTAGGTCTATATGCACAAGTCCTTACAAAATACCTCGCTGATGCAAAAAGATGCCATCAAATCCTTCCAAACAGATCAAAATCCAAGTGTATCATTATATGTTCCAACCCTAAGCCCCAGTGAAATTGCCAATGCAATGTTGTTGCAAAAAAAAGACCCTTTTTTTGCGGACTATTCCACAGGCTTACAACCTCAGATGGTAGTACATCAGCATGCTTTTCTGTCACTTCCTACGCTATTAGAGAACAGGTATAGCATGGCTTACCAGATCTGGTATAGAAAGAACCTAAAACATACATGATGATGATGATGATGATAACAATAATAATAATAATAATATCATGTTTCTTTGCTCATATCACACTCAACAAAGAATATCAAATGTAATAAAAATGTTAGAAAGTTATCAGAACATCAGAGTATAGCGTTATACTCCTATATGTTTCTTCTCCACTGATCTGAAACTCTACGAGTCTTACAAGCCAAGAATAGTCAGAGGAGAGATTTGATCTTTGTCCATTAGCATTCAAAGATGATCATTGCCTTTTAAAGGGCTCCTCAGCTTTGCCAAGATGGACTATGTTTCATCTCTACTAAACTGACACTCCACTGAGTTAAATAAGCATCCGATATGATCATTTTCGTTCAAAAGGTCACCACCACAGCTTTGACAAGATAGACATGCAAATTGAATAACTCACCAAACTATATTAAATATGAACACCGTGACCAAATTCATCGTGAATTTCTGCAGACAAAATTTCTCACATGGAGACAAAATTAGAAAAGGTGTATGGTGTATCTTACATTATAGAAATAATGCATAAATACAACATTCAAGAAATAAATACAACATTCAAGCATTTGTACAAAGAGTTTAGGTTGAGGAATTTGCAGTGAACAGTTAGCTGTTTTTGAGGAGGAAGAAGGTCCGAGGACTCGCAGTTCAGAGTTGTTGCAGCTCTTGAACCTGCTTCCCTGACTGATTGTCTCTAGTGATATCTCTTAATCAATGCTATGAGGTTTTCCTGATGCCGATGACTGTCCTGTATGTACAAAAATGCAAATACAGACCAGCATCCTTTTTTTGTTTTTGGATTGTTCTCGATAAACTTCGCCCAAAATATCCACCACTTATACACTTATTACACTTCAAGTTAGAGCATCATTATTAGGGTATGGACTTAAATGTTTCTCTAAGCTTATCTAAAACTCCACTGAGCTTAAGAAAGATAGAACAACTATGAGAGAAAGTTAAATCAAGTCCATTAGCATTGAAAGCAGATCATTGCAAACCCCAAAAAAATTTATAGGGAAAACTATGCAGAGTCAGAAACAGAACATGCACACTGACACCAACTGAGAAACGGAAAAAATGACTTACAATAGCGGAATAGCCACACCATCTCTTTATATATGTATGGAGATGTATACATACCTCATTGGGAGTATTGTGCAGCAACCTTCCCTTGCTGTTATGGTAAGGACGTACTCCAGCCTTTCCCTGCAAGGTAACATCATCATCACCTTAATCTCAGATAATTAGGGTCGGTGATATGAAATGTATGGCGTGAATTAATTCAGTTCGCATTATAGCATTACAACAACAACATTACCCCAATGCCACAAAGGCTCCCACCTATGGTGGATTAGGGGGGTTAGATGTACATAGTCTTACCACTATACTAAAGAACAGAGAGACTGTTTCTAGATGAACCATAATGAAAATTGCGTCAAAAAGCACAAACAGTTTAGCGAACCATTTTGCTTTATTCCATTAGAAATGAATAAATGATGGAAAATAGCTTAATAGCATTATGAGGGGAAAATCAAAGAGTTTCACATGAGATGCTATTCCTGTTCCAGCCTGCTTACTAATGGCAACACTGAGTAGGAGAAGAGATATCTCATAGGAAATAGTTCAAAACAGACATTAAAAAACTCGAAAAGGGCAGAGTTTCCACTAATGGGAGCTAAAAGCATAAACTTTGCAAGCCAATACTGTGGATAAAATTGTTTTAACCATGCTGTTCATAAATCAAAATTACATCAGAATTCACAACAAGTGCACACTAGAGTGTGACTGAGAACTCAACACCCACAGTTATAGTTGTGATCAATGAAACCATGTTTTGAATAGGAACCGGTATGAACCTGGCATAAAAACGAATGAATGCTCTTTAACTTACATACACATTATCTTTCTGCATCCGTGGTTTTCCATTTGTTCTTGAATTCAGTTTTCAGCAAGCTTTAGCAAGTGATTCGACTAGTAATTCAGAAATAACTGCTGTTGTTGCCTCTTGTAAGTAGACAATAAATGGTCCCCATACTCTGGGAATATTCACTTGAGGGAGACTTCCCAAAAATGAGAGCAGATTGAAAGCCACATGTAAGAAGACATTATTAGGTAGGCTGCATGTGAGGGCTAGACTTAATACAGCAACGCTGTCTGCAGATAAAGGGTAGTCTCCCCCTTTGTGTTCATTAAATTTTGCGAGAGAAATTTAACCACTTACATTTGACAACATGTCACAAGATTTGACTAAACACCATCTATAAGAGAGGTAATTTCAGGGGAAGTTAATTCAGTATCTGAAGTCAAGAACTCTAGAATGTTATAAATATAATCGCTTTCAGGGTGTGTTTTGTCTCCGGCAACAAATGCATACATCTTTGTCTTCAGTTTTATCCAAGACCACCCGGGCTCTTTAATGACTCCTTTGGACCTCATCAGCTTCCTCAACTCCGCTGCTTCCCTCCACTTCCCTTTAGAAGAATATATATTAGCCAGGGTTATATGGGCCCCAGCGGAGTCAGGATCCAGTTTTAGGATATGTTTTGCAGCACGTCTTCCACATTCAACATCACCATGCACCCTGCAAGCCCTGAGGAGAGTTGACCAAACAACATCATCCTTTTCAAATGGCATGCTATTAATCATATTCTCTGCATCACTTAAACGTCCTGCTCGGCAAAGAAGATCAATCATGCAACCATAATGTTCTTTAGAGTGACTTAATTTATAGTCCTTGATCATTGAATTGAAGTAATGAAACCCAATATCAACCAATCCAGCATGGCTGCAAGCACTGAGAACTCCAACAAAGGTTACTGAATCCGGTTCCAAACCAGCCTCAGACGATTTCTCAAATAAATCAATAGCTTCTCTGCTTTTACCATGTTCAGCCAATCCACTAATCATAGCCGTCCATGATACAATATCATTACACTGAGCCATCTGAAAAATATCTGAGGCTTCTTTGATGTTTCCACATTTTGAGTACATAGATACCAAAGCACTGTGTATCAATACTGTCTGATCTAAACCAATGGCAAGGACATGAGCATGCAGTTGCTTCCCTTGATATAGACTGGTCGTATTTCCGCATACACTCAATACACTAGCAAGGGCAAACTCTGTAGGCTTTGTTCCTTCCCTTCTCATCCACGAGAGAAGATTGAAAGCCTCCTCACCATGTCCAGCTTGAGCATACCCTGCAATAATAGTGCTCCAAGAAACAATGTCTCTCTTGTTCATTGCATTAAACACCATGGAAGCTGAACCTAACAACCCACATTTTGAATACAGTGCCATGACTGAGTTTCCCACAGATGGAAAAGTCACAAAACCTGAATGTAATGCATTGGAATGCAGTTGTTCGCCCCAATCAAGTCTTGCAAGATTAGCACAAGCAGCAACAATTGCTGCATAGGTGTACTCGTTAGGGCTTGTGTGTGAGTCTCTCATTCGCAAGAATGCTTGGATTGCCAGCTCATCTTGACCCATTTGGACATATGTTGTGATTATAGACGTCCAAGAGACCACATCTTTCAAAATCATTTTTTCGAACAGGCACAATCCATACTTTACATTCCCACATTTATTGTACATTGTGGAGAGACTATTAGCCACGTAAGATCCTGCACCATAGCCTTCCTTCACAATCCGAGTATGAATCTCCCTCCCATAATTCAGATACCCCATATCAGCACATGCCTTTAATGCAATGGCATAAGAATATGAATCGTATTTTACTCCATCTTCGCACATTTCAGAAAAATACATCAGAGCCTCATTGTTATAGCCCATATGAACAAGTCCAGTCACTATAGCAGTCCAAGATACTACATTCTTGTTAGGCATCTCATCGAACTGTTTGCAACCTTCCCAAAATTTTCCCAATTTCATATACATATTAAGAAGTGAGCTTCCCACAAAAATAGAATTCACAAGACCACTTTTTACAGAATATCCATGCACAAGTTCTCCATACTTAACATTTGTACTAATCCCACAAGCCTTTAGTACAAGGCTAAGTATGAAAGGATCCATATGAAGATCAGTATAGGCCCACATATCATGAAACAGAGATAGTGCTTCAAATGATTCAGAGGCATTTACGTAAGCAGCAATCATGTTGGTCCATGAGACTTCATCTCTATGTGGCATTTTATTAAACATCTCACGAGCATTTCTAACATGTCCTTTCTTGATCAGTTCCTTCAATTGAGAGTTGATAACCATAATATTCCAGCTGTGAGATTCTTGTGTTAACTGATCTACGTTACTCCATGTAGCCAATATATCTCTTGATTTAGCATATGCGACATTTGATGTTGCATAAAATCTCCTGAACAACCGCAAAACCTTCTAATTAAAACCATTCATGTGCACAAATCAGACACACTTCAAACACAAACCAGTCCATGCTTTCACTCATCATCATCATCATTACCCCAGTGCCGCAAAGGCTCCCACCTACGGTGGGGTAGGGGGGGTCGGATGTACGCAGTCTTACCCCTGTACTAAAGCACAGAGAGATTGTTTCCGGATGACCCATAGTGAAAATCGCGTCCAGAATGCATGGACAGATGGACAGACTGCAGCTTCATAACAAAAAAACGCAGAGAGTTTAGTGAGCCATTTTGCTTTATTCCATCATATTTTCAAGCCAAAAAATAGTGAGTTTTTGGCTCCATTGCAAATGATGGATAACAGTCCATGCTTTCACTGTTTCACATTAATATTGTTGCATAATTATGGTGGTGGTCCGTTAGGGTACATTTGGATGGAGTGTTTTGAAGGGGAAGGCTTTGGGGCATATAATATACTTCCTCTGTTCTTTAATTCTTGCAACATTGTGATTTTTGCACTATTCACGGACCTTACTTTGACCACGATTTTCTACTAATACACATAATCAAATTATTACATATAAAATATTATTGAATTCCTATCAATGTGAATTTCAAAAATATCAACTTTTTGTAATGTTTACTAATACATAATTAAATATAATTACAGTCAAAGTTGTGCGTTGGCAAACGTGAAAGTCAAACTGTTGCAAGAATTAAAGAACGGAGGATAGTATACCTCAAAGCCTCAAATATAAAGAGATACAAATATGAATATATTATGTGAACACATATTAGGGTCATCTTAGGCTTATAACTGTTCCCGCCCCCCTAAGCATACGTGCAAACCTCATGCCAAAAACTGTCATTATATTTGTGTCCAAAACATAGTATCTAAAAAAAAGATGTGGTAGTAAAGGCAACGATTAATAAAATAGAAAGCTTTTGTTCTGACCACTTCGAGAAACTAAAAAACGGTTAGATCTTACAACTCTAATATATTTGAAGATTTCAGGTGACAATGTAATTAGTAATTGCGGTTCCAAATGCGAGATTAAAAAGTTGACCACCAGTAGTCCACCACCACCAAAGGTAAAACATCATCATCACCACCAGTAGTCCACCACCACCAAAGGTAAGACAAAGACCCTAATTGCAAATGCGCCAAAGCACAACTGCACAAGATACTCTTTTGTACTTCTCCCAAAAAATAGAAGTTAGGCCATCAATCAAAACAAAGTCTAAAGTCAATCCAAAATCAAAACAAAGTCTAAAGACAATCCACAATAAAAATCATAAGCACATAGTGAAAAACAAACTGCAAAAAGTGCATGATAATCACTAATTCATTATACCCGCAAAAAGGTAACGAAAAAAGGCTATAAAGAGTGAAGTAAATGGAGGACAGATAAATATAAGAACAATAAACAGGTTGGGGATGGGACTTACCTTGTACGCTGATTGTACCAGGTCATAACCGTCTTGACCAGTGGACCTGGATTCTTGTACACCATCTATCTCGTCATTCCATTTCAAAAAGAACCTTGATCAGATCCAAAAGCGATAGAATCATCCTGAAGATCACATTCAAAATCTAGCTTGGTTACAAATTGGGCAATCCAGTTGATAGGCAATGATTTCATTACACCTTACTAGATCTTCTAGGCCATCACAATATGTGAATTCGAATTGATCTTTATTCTGTTAAAAAAGTTTCCAAGGTAAGTAGTACATGCCTAGAAGGTAGAAGGCTACTAAATATGTAAATGGAAAAGCAGCTGGAAGATATTTTATGAATTACAGTATTATCATATATCAAGACTACTTTAATGCTAGAGCACTACATGGATTTCAAAATCAATTATCTCCATAATTCTTCATATGTACAGCGTTAACATGGAATAGAAGAACAAAAAAACACCATGAACATGAAATAGAAGAACAAAAATAAACCATGAACATGAAATAGAAGAACAAAAATAAACTATGAACATGAAATATGTATGTATAGGACTATAGGTGCAGTCATTTACGACCAGCACCCACTCCCCGTGACTTCCAATGACTTTATTTATAAATTCAAGAATAAATAAACATATTTACTTGCACACACGCATAATATGAAAAAGAACAACAGGTCAAAGCAATGGATATCATAACATGAACACCATAATAAAACTCCTTGTGGATATCTAGAACAAAAATTAAGGAGGGATTTGACTTTGCACCCCACTTTTTGGGTGATATTGGACTTTGCACCCCATTTTGAAAAAACTTTGATTTTGCACCTCATTACACTTAAAATTCTTTTGACTTTGCACCCCATTTAGAACTTTTTCTTCACAAAATGGTATGTATTGGGGTGCAAAGTCAATGTTTTTTGAAAATGGGTTGCAAAGTCCAATACCACCCAAAAAGTGGGGTGCAAAGTCAAATTCCCCCAAAAAATTATCCGATGGAGATAGAAGTCGAGAAGACGAAACTATTTTAAAGCAAAAAGTGAACAAAAGTGAAGTATCACTTTTGTAAGGTGACAACTATGGCCAGAATGTCACCTTTCATATTTTTTATTCCTATTGTAAAAAACAAACCCTTGTAAGCTATGAAGCATGGATACTTCACTAGAATACCGTATCGGCATATCGGAAACGTTCCCATATCAGATACTCTAGGATACATGTACCGTACGTTCCCAGGCCGTATCTGTAATTTATTAAAAGTTTCCAACTTTTTTGGTAATTATTTTAAAATTTCAGATACCCGTATCCTGACGGATAAACGTATCAACCTTTTAAAAAAAACACCCAAAATTTACATAATAGAATTCTTGAAAAATGAAAAACTAAAAATAAATTTAACCCTCCCACGCAACTAAGTATATGGACGACAAGTAAAATGTGGGATGTTGGTGAAGATTTGGGAGCATGGAGGATAAAGGAGTACTTGAATTCACCAAACTTTCCGTAAGTGAACTAGAATTGGAGGTTGTCTTTTTTTAAGACGATGTTATCTCCTATGGAAATATGTATTAGAACTTTTAGGGCCTGTTTACTAACAGAGATATTTTCCTGTTTTCTACTTCTGTTTTTCGTTCTCCAATTTTCTGTTTTTATTTTTCAGTTTTTTTATCTCTAATTTTCTGTTTCTATTTTTTAGTTTTCCATTTTCAAATCTGAAAACATGTTCATCAATTTTTTCACCCAGTTCTCCAATTTCACACTCTTGACCCCTACCCTTACCATGATCTTACACTCTACCCATACTCCCCCACAACCCTTCATACCCACCCATACCTACTCGTAGGGGTCGGGGTAGGGAAGTTATGGGTGGGGGTGGGGTAAGGGGTATGGTCGGGGTGGGGTGGTAAGGTCTAGGGGTAGGGGGTTGAGTGGGGGTATTGGGTGGGTTAGGGTTGTGGTTAGGGGTAAGGGTGGGGTAGTGGGCAGGGTTTGGGGTAAAGTAGAGGTAGGGTATGGAATTGGGTTAGGATGGTGGTAGGGTGGGTCCGAGACCAGGGTGGGGCTGAGGATGGGAAGGGGTAGGTGGTGGGGGGTAGGATGGCGGTAAGGGTGGGGGTAGTGGGTAGGGTTGGGGTAAGGTAGAGGTAGTGGGATAGGATGACGGTAGGGTGGGCCCGGCCGGGATCTGGGTGGGGCCGAGGTAGGGGAAGGGTAGGGTGGGGGGTAGAATGGTGGTTGGATGGCGGAAGGGTGGGGGTAGGATGGCGGTACGAGGGTGGGGGTAGGATGGCGGTGGGGTGGGGCCGAGCTAGGAGCATGTGGTAAGGGGTAATATATGGGTGGGGGTAGGGTAGGGTGGGTTGGGGTGGGGTCGAGGTGGTAGGGGGGTGGCGGTAGGGTAGGGTGGATCGGGGTGGACCGGACCCACCAGTAGGTGTAAGTATGCAAATTCATTGCAGCGGCACTGTAGCATCTGCGTTTTCCAAATTTGGAAAACTAGTAAAAGTCACTTCTCCAAATCATTAAGGAAAAGAGAGACATGTCTCATTTTTTCCGTTTTGGAAAACGATTTGGTAAACACGTTTTTGTTTTTTCCTTTCTCCAGTTTTCTAGGAATTTCTTTGGTAAACACGTTTCCTGTTTTCTGTTTTCCAGTTTTCCAGTTTTCTGGAAAACTGGAAAATATCTCTGTTAGTAAACAGGCCCTTAGTTTTTTTATTAGAGTATTGTTTTCATCTCCAATTATCCAAGAAGTTTGAGTACTTGCACTTGTAATTTCAAATTTATGTTTCTTTGATTCGTTTGTCATTTTAGATTAATAAATTATTGACTACGTGTATATTTTGAGATGCACTAGCATATGAGATAAAATATGAATTTTTTTCTAACTATCTTGAGCCTTCAATGCCATGAATGAGCAGAGTTCATATGATTATATATGTATATATTTTCCAAAAAAAACCAGTGATTTTTAAAATTTATAAATACACCCCCATAATTTTTAATATTTTTAAAACCACCTCCATAACGTTTAATATTTATAAATATACCCCTATATCTTAGCCTACTTTTCTTGGTTGCTTTTTCGACGTCTCTGCGTACCCGTATCGTGTACGTATGGATGCTACATAGCTTGTAACTGAACAAAAAAGTGATACTTCACTTTTGTGAACACGGTCGGCCAGGGGACCACTGCGGCTACTGACCACCGCGGCCTTTGACTACCACAGCTAGTGACCACAATAACCACCGCTGACACTGACCAGTAACAGTTACACATATCCCAGTGACGGCACTGGTCGGTGACCACCACCTAGCCCCTTAGGTGACTGTCGCGTGAGTTCTGGTGACCGCCAGTGCCGCCCCCCTCCCCAGCCTCAGCCACCCGCCCCAACTACCCAGCCTAAGCGGGCCTCCCTCTCCAGCCCCCTCCCTAGCGTCCCCAAGTGCAGAACCCTGCCTCACAACCCTAGCCGCCGCCAAAATTTAGACGCACCACCGCGTCTCACGGTTGAAACCTCTATCAAAGAGCCCGAACATCGGCACGACCCCAGGTCCCCAACCACCCCAGCATTCGTAGCATCTCCGGTCGCACATCTAGCCATAGCATCACGGCCGCAGCCACTAGTTGTCTACTATTCGGCCATAGCCGAACCCTAGCCGCCACATAGATGGGACTGACGGGCAGAAGATGGAGAAGAAGAAAAGGGGAGGGGAGACACACCTGGATGCAGAGGCGGGCGTAGGGGGCGGTGCAGAAATGGCAGCGCACGCAGGGATTAGAGTTGATTTAGGGGGTGTCCCATTTTAGATTTTAAAGGATTTTAAAAGATTGTGGGTGTGTTTGCAACAGCTTCTGCTTTTAAAAAAGTGCTTTTTTTAATGAAATGGGGAGAAGTGATTAAATAAAAGTTTATAGTGTTTGAGAAAAAAGTGATTTTGAAAAGTAAAAGTGGGTAGTGTTTGGTAAAATAAGTGCTTTTTGTGTAATAGAAAAAGTAAAAGCACTTTTGACGCGGAAGCCGAGAAAAATAAAAGTTGTAGTGTTTGGGAAAATAAGTGTTTTTTTAAAGCCAAAAGCTGAGAAGTGCTTTTTTAGAAGCAGTTGCAAACCAACCCTGTATATTCTATTTGAGTTTAACGGATTTTGATAGATTTTTGCAGATTCCATTTGAGTTTAACGGATTTTAAAATCTAAAGTTCATGGATTCTAATTGATTTCTACGGTTTTGAAATCTACATAGACATCGGCTCAAACGGCAATTGATGAAGCATCGGCTCAGTTGATGAAACCCAAACAATACTCTCTCCACTCAAATACCAGCCTATTGGATCTTATCTTTGTTTCTTACCCTTAAATTCAAGCACGGATTGAGTAATAGTGTATAACCCACAGAAAACTGAAGAAAGAAGAAAGAAGAAAAAAGAAAAAGAAAGAGAAGGAGCTGGACATGGTAGAGAAAAATGGCAGGATTTGGACTTTCATCAATTGCGGCTTTGTTTCGTCTACTAGGGCAGGGCTAGTTTTCCTTGTGCACTTCTGATATATTACGGCCATCCAACTTCCTGGCTTTGTTTTGCTCTCGAAGGGAAATCCGTGGAAATCTGAAGGGGAGAGCAGAGAGTTTCGGTGTATTCTTTTCTTTGTATTCCGCTTTGGAAATCCACGGGAATCCTTAGCAATCCAGAGTTAAAGAATCCACAGACATTTTGAGGACACCAGTATTTTAGCAGACTCCACACAAATCCAAATTCAGGACACCCAAATTCAGATGGAATTCTAAATTCCTTTAAAATCTGTTAGAATCCATATTGGGGACACCCCTGTTAGGGTTGATTTTGGCTTAAAAAACACTTACTTACGTGTAAAAAATGTTTTTTCCTTTTCTATTACACAAAACATACCTATTTTACCAAGCACTTTCAACTTTTATTACTAATCACTTTTTCCAAATCATTCCAAAAGTGATTTTTTGAACAAGAAACAGTTGCAAACACTCCCTTAATTTCGATATTAATATTGTGATTTCGGATATAGTTGGGTTTAAAACCCACAAATAGTAAATTGGACTCATATTCAAACCCGTGTGTTAAGGTCAGTGTTCTAAAATGCTTCAAAAGGCTCCGCCTAAGCAGGTCTAGGCGTGACGCGGCCCATGAACGCCTCGCCTTCATACAATGCGTGAATAAAGGTGGCCTGATCGGCCCGATCTACTAAAATTAAAATTTTGTTTTGTTTTAACCCATATTGGGAGAAGGGATGCACAACCTCAAAGACGGAATCACAAATTGATTATACGGGCCTTGGACTTGTGGCTTGATCAACCTGGTCAATTCAAAGACCTTACTCTGTATGTATGCATGTATGCGTGCGTGCAAGCGTGTATGCGTGCGTGCCTGCATGTATGCATGCGTGTGTGTGTGCGCATGCCTGCGTGCATATAGGCACATAACATCCATAGATTCACATAAAAGGTTACTGAAGCATGAATTGCTCTCCATTTTATGATACTGCCTGTTTTATGCCCTTTGATTGGTAATTTTGAGTAGGGTGGGGTGAAAGGTGGGAAAGAGTACCTCAAAGAAGAAAACGAATCTGGTGCCTCATCTTCACAAAGGTTAGTTGTTACTTTATATGATTTTTTAATATGAGATGAATTTGCTTATTAAACATCATTAGTGATGTGTTTAGGTCTATGAAGAAAGCGTTCACAAGTGGTGGCAGCAAGCCTTGAAAAACTTTCAAGTCAGGCAAAGCTCTAGCGAAGGATAACAAGAGAACTAATTCCCGGATCAAAGAAGGGGCTGAGGGTGGGGTGAAAGGTGGAAAAGAGTACCTCAAAGAAGAAAATGATTCTGGTGCCTCATCTTCACAAAGGTTAGTTGTCACTACTCTTACATAATTTTTCAATATGAGATGAATCTGCTTATTAAACATCAATAGTGATTTGTCTAGGTTTAGGAAGAAAGCGTTCACCAGTAGTGGCAGCAAGTCTTGGAAAACTATCAAGTCAGGCAAAGTCTAGCTAAGGATAACAAGAGAACTAATTCCCGGATCAAAGAAAGGGTTGGGGGGCTGAAGATGTTTGAATGAATGTGAACGTGTGGTTAAAAATCTACAGCTCATGCCTCATGCTTAGTCATGGACTCGGCTCCGGGTCGGGTCCGGGTTGGGCCTCGGCCCGGCCAGGCCCAATATTTTTTGTTGTGGACCCGAGACCGGCCCCGTGGTTAGCCGGTTACGGGTTGGACCGGGCCACCCGCCCGGGTATCGGGCCGGGCCACCCGCCGGGTCGAGCCGATTACAATTTTTTTCCTTTTTCCTACTAATTTCTACAAATGCTACATATTAAAAACAATCTTCAAGTGCATTTATTTGAAATAGGAACTACATATGAAAATTGAGAAAAAAATTACAATATAAAATACATTTTCTAAAAAATAATAATATAATATATAATAATCAATCGAAATTTCTGCCACCGTTGGCTGTTGTTTTCTTATTGCCTTTGCCTTTGTCACAAGACTTAATATGTCTTGTGGGCATCCTGTATCCATGTGAACACCTCAAACTACACTCTTTCTTGCACCACCTGCAAGTTGCGTACCACATCCCGGTCTTCGGGTCCTTCCACATATCAAAATTGTTTTTCATAAGGGAAGAACTACTTTCCATCTTTAAAACGGTAGATGTATAAGTAGGAGAATAAGAGAAGATGAAGATGGAGAAGAGGTGTAGGAAAATGTTAGAAAATAGGTGTATTTATAAAAAATTTTGTACCCCCCTCCCGGACCCCATCTGCTAGCACCCATCGGCTATATAGCCGTTTGGGAGCTATATGTTTAATTTTTTTAATTTATAATTAATACATATTGTAAAATTAATTACTTTAATTAATTGAGTAAAGCTATTTTTACTAAGAAAATAGGTGTGAATGTGTGATTTATAATTTACAAATGTTAGAAAATAGGTGTATTTATACAAATTACATATTGTAAAGCTATTTTGAATTTAAAAACAACCTTTAGAAAATTAAATGTAAGTTCTAACCAATTAATTAATTTGAGAAGTGTTACATATAAAATATGAACGTATATTTATTTGAAATATGAACTACAAGTTTACAATTGAGAATTGAGAAAAAAAATTCAAACATGAAATATATTTTATAATAAATTGTAAAATACTAATCAATCAGAATCTCTGCCATAGGTAGAGCCACCCTCGGTTGTTGATTCATCCATAAAGTGTTGGGAGGGGGTGATGCTAAGTTCTTGAGTTCTACGTCCGGCCTTCAACCAATCGTGGTAGCATACAAGCGTCTCAAGAGAGTTTGTGTTCAATCTCGTTCTAGATTCCGTTAGGACGTTGGCGGTTGAAATAAATTCTTGTTCCATGGCAATTGTTGAAACCGGCATTGATAGCACTTGCTTAGCCATCCGTGCTAAAAACGGGAACATTCTTTCTTTTTTCTTCCACCACTTTAGAACGTCAAAGCCATCATCTTCTTCAAAATGAACATTATCTACAAACTTATAAAGGTGAATGAGGATTAAGGCTATTTAGGAATGTAAAATTTTGTTGGTGTAGCATAAAGCAATTCTTAATTGTACTCTATGTTATTTGTACGTTGTCCGTAAAGTCAAAATCTTTGGTTATTACTTCGTACTTATTAGGCTTTCCGTTTGATCTCCGTTATTGTCTGGGAACATTAATGGAAGACGGTCTATCTACTTTATACGGAGTCCAATACTCCAATCTTCTACGTGTTGATGTCGTTAATTTATCAAATAACTCTTCTACTCCACATTATTTACTATACCATCCATCACATAAAATTTTATATAAAAAACTACCATATAAATAGTTTCATTTGAAAGTTGCAACTTCTCAACTGTTCGAACTCTCCTTTGAAAATAATATGTTTAATTTTTCACTTTTATCCTAGATTTCGTGATTGATTTGGAATTTTAATTCTAAAAAATTCCTCCATACAGGAGTAATACGTATAAAAGGTGTACTAATATAAGTAGTTATATTTAAGATGTTTTAATATCAATAGGTAATCTTTCTCCAGAAACGTTGTCCGGCCACCTCCATTTGAGGTGGTTTCAGGTGAAATTTTTTTATGTAATTTTCTGATCATGTTCTTTATAATATATCCTTAAATTTCAATCAGAAAGGTGATTAAATAAATTATTGAAAACGCCGTGCTTTTATATAGATTTTGGCTCATCGTTTTTCAATAATTTATTCAACTAAAAAATGGAGTCAGCCGCACGACGGTTCCTGTCAGGCTCGTCCAACAAGAAAGCCATTCATATACTCCATCCGTCCCTTAAACTTTTACCATCTTTGAATTTTTGGATCAACCTTGTTCAACTTTGACCAATCATATATTATTATAAAAAATTATTTATAATATAAAAATTATATGAAAATGTTCCTTGTTAAAAATACTTTCATAACAGTGTAAAACTTATCATGCACTTTCATAACATTATACTAATCAAAATCATGATCTAAACTTTACCACCACTGACTTGAAAAGTCAAAGATAGCAAAGTTAAGGGACGTAGGCAGTACAATATATATTAATATATATTACTAAAACATACTACCTCCGGGTTCCGTTCTCTTAATATTGAGACAAAAGTGAGTGGTACAGTTATAAAGTGAAAATGTTATGATGGTATTAACTTGAAAAAGTGAATAATATAAGAATGAACGGAAATCGGGACAGGTCTACCGTCACTTGTGCATGAGTAATATTAGCTGAATTTTTTCAAAAATTAAACAGTACCCGATTTTGAAATTTCAACATATTTTTATTCTTATCTTGTTAAAATTCCCATAAAACTTCAAAAACCCTCACTCAGCAAGAAGCTGCTATTTCTGTATCTTCTTCCACGGGCTGCTAATTCTCTTGAGCACATTTGCATTTTTCCTCTTCTGCAGATCTTCATCTCCTTCTTCAAAACAAGGAGGAGGAGGAGGAGGGGCGCTGATCATCCCGGCGCCGGATGAAAGCATTGCAGACGCAGCTTCTGCAGCCTTCCGCCATTGCTCACTCTGCACCTTCACCCTTCTCAACTCCTCTTCCATTTCCGCATTGTACGCCTCCACCACCTCCATCTGCTCCATAATGCCTTCACTTCTCCTCCCATTTTCCTCATATATCATCTTCATTTCTGTCAATTTTTCCTTCAGATACCTAACCTCCCTCTCCAGTTCATATTCCCGCTGTCCCGACCGTCTATTCTCCAATTTCAGAGCTAGGTTTTCGTTCTCTTCGCATATCCCTTGCAATTCGGTTTCCTTATCCATAAGATTTGCCTTCAATTCCTCGATCTCTATGCTCAGTTTCTGTACTTCGTCTCTAAGTTCGGCCTCTTTCTGGTTCGACGAGGAGATAATCTGTTCAACGAACTCGTAAGCGCCTCTGATCTCTACAGTGCTTCGCGTTTGTTCTTCGGCGATTTTTGCTTCGGATGCGTCCAGAGCATCTTGGAGGGTTTCAATTTCGGATTCGAAGGTTTTGTGTTTTTCATTGATGAGGGATTCTGCCCTAGCTTCTGACTCTCTGCAATTGCTTAGCTGGGTTTTCAATTCCTCCACAATCAATAGAGTCTCAGACAGGGACTCCTTCAAGTTTTGAAGCTCTATTGACTCATCTAAGGTGGGGACGGGTGTTCGTTTCATCAATTGCTCCTGAGATTCTTGCAGTTTTGAAGATAAGTGAGAAAGCTGTCTTTTTGAGTCGTCTGCTTCTTGATTTGCTTGATCTTTCAATGCTTCTGTGGAATGTAACTCTTCTTTTACTTTCTTTAGATCATTCTGAAGCTCAAGTATCTGAGATTCCAACTCACTACGCCTGTTTGAATGCTCCTGCAATTTGCAACCACAATTAAATGAAACCAGAATGAACAACACTGATATTTAGATAGAATTAAAAATACGGAGATATATTTCTGTAACAAATACTACATCCGTCCCCTAATATGGGAACAAAAGGACCTGGACGAAAGGCGGAAAGGGAGTGATGTAGTTTTTAAGAGAAAAAAAATATGTGGTTGATAATGAGTTGATAAAGTGAGAATAAAGTAAGAATGAATAATAACCACACAAATGTTACCAAATATGGTATGAGACAATAATAAGGAGACATTCAAAAATAAAAAAATGGGACAATTATAGGAGGACGGAGAGAGGAATGCCTAATACGGAGTATGTAGTATAAGACTATAAAAAGTGTCTTAATAACTTCTAGTGACTCTAATCATGTGTCTTTGAATATGTAGGTAAATTTATCAAAATCTCTCAGTTATATAAAATCACGGATCATTTTGTTTTAATCTTACAATTAAAATTGTTTTGGGGGGAGGTTTTGCGTATGGTTAATTATAACACAGGGATTTGGCCCATTTTTAAAATCATAAAAACCTAATGTGCATAATTTATATATCACGAGGGGTTGGATGCATTAAATCGTAGTGACCATTGATCAATGGCGGATCTATGTTCCAAACTATGGGTGTTCATTTATTTTCTACAATTAAAATTTGAAAAGGCAATAAATAATTAAATTTATACATGTATACTAGCTTATTTAATTTTTTTCAAAACTAGGTATTCATATGAACACCTTTGCACCTATATAGCTCCCCCACTGCCATTGATGAAACATAAGAAATACTGATGGTCACTATATAGTAACATGATTGCAGTGACCCCCATTCATGTAAAACTAAATTGTTTACTTTGGTGAGGGTGGTTGAAGTTGTAGCATAACTCTATTAACAAATAATGGCATGGAGAGGGTCATAATGACTTTGAGGCTAGGTTCATACCTCTGACCCTAAACTATGGGGTGAACTTAGTTCACTGGCTTTGGGACTTCCTTGCTCATTGGCTTTGGGACTTCTTTGCTTTTTACTGCTGCAAATTGAATGCGGAGAAGAAGTGGTAGAGCTAGCGGTGTTTGGCAAAAGCTGGCGGACAATCCTTGGCGAAATCTTTTGTTGAGATGCTGCATTGTGAGAGGAAGTTCGCGGAGAAACTTTTCTAGGAACATCATTGGAAACGGCTCGTGGTGAGATCTTTGTAGGAACTTTTGAAGGCACTGATTGTGGTGACCTTTTTCTTTGAGGTACGTCTGAAGTACGATTTCTGCCCAAATTTACAAAAAACAAAAAACAATCAGACATCAACTAATCAACAAAGAACTGCTATGGTCATCAAAGGTTTTAGACCAACAGAGAGCGTTTGGCAAAAGTTAATTCTAACCTAGACCTTGTGTTATGTGGAAAAGTGAACATCTCAAAGGTGTTTGGTATTGACTATGGCTGGTTTGGGAGGAGTCGTTTGGCTTTATAGTTTATATGTGGTTGAATCTTCTGATGATGGCTGGTTGGAGGATTAGAGCTTATACAGGACTAGAGGTTTTATGCAACTTGTCAGAAAGAGTAATCTAAGACTATATTGAACCAGTATGGGTGAATAACTCATTCCAATAAAACAGAATAGCTTATTCAACGTAGGATGAGCAGAAGAAGAAAAATGAGTAACCAAATGTGAGATTTTGTTCCCAACAGGACAAAGACACTCACAACAGTAAAAAGCAAGTTTACCCCCAACTGGAATTTTCAATTCAATCTTCAACTGCCCATACAGAATTAAAAAAGGGAGGTAGTTAAAAGCGATGGAATGAAGGAGTTGGATTTACCTTGGTTTTGGAGTCTGCATATCTCACTCAACTACCCTTTGTGACCACTTTCAATACCATGAATAAGAGAGTATTCCGTATATAAGTGAGAGTGAGTGAATACTCTGCCCCCACAGTGCCTTTGCAGCAGATGTTTCTATCAACCCAAGCTAAGGGGCAAAACAATTAGATTATTATCACTGGGCATCCAATGCCAACACATATCATTAATGCCACCCCCACCCCAAATAGCCAATTCAAGATTACTGACTTTTCTAATGTTAGGAAATAAGTATTTCTTATTTTCATTATTTTTAAATAGACTTTCATATACATATTAAGGAAATAGAACTCATGAACATCATAATAATCACTACAGTATCTGAAAATAGCTCTAAAGTCTTTAGTCAATACACATTAAAGGTCATATATAATTTATTTTCGAAATACATTTTTGGTTTTGAACAGGAAGAGCCATAGTAACCAAAAATAGATAATGGGAGAAATGGAAAATAATACGGAGTAATAGTAATCCTAGGGAGAGCATTAATTTCATTCTTATCCTATTGAATGCAATGTCACGAGGTCAATGGGACAAGCCTGTGAGGGTTGGGTGGGAGTAAATTAGAACCTCATCAAGGGGCAATCTTGTCACACAAATAAGATACCTCCATTAACGCCGAAAGCTTGGAATAGAAAAAAGGGCTGTTGTGCTTCATATACACTATTTTGGGTCTACACAATTTACTCCCGTTCCTTCAAATTGTACCAACAAAAGAAAACTGCAGAAACTAATTAAATGTTGGGGAAAAAATGGGTTTTCTGTGATGAATCAGATCCAGATGAACTGATAATATTTCAATTTAAAGATTGGTTCAAAGCAAAAAACATAGAAGAAGAAGAAAGAAAGGTGAGAGCTTTACCAGATATGAACCTGCTCCTTACATGCAGACTTTTTAGACTGTCAATAAAAAGAAAGCTTCAAATAAAGCATAATCATAACATTGCATGGGAAACATTAATCTTTAAAGGAATCCCAAGAACAAAATAGGAACGAAGGAAATTGCCCAGAGAAAAGATGAAACTGAAGAAGAAGATAACAAAAGAATTGTAGAATACGCGTTTAACGAGAGAGATGCTCAAGTTGAGGAATGTGAAGGGGAAGGTTAGCTGTTTCTTAGGAGGAAGAAGAAAGTCAGAGGACTCGCAGTTCAGAGTTGTTGCAGCTGATCTTTAACCTGCTTCCCTGACTAATTGTTTCTACTGATATCTCTCACAATCAATGACATGAGGTTTTCCTGATGCCGATGACCGTCCTATGTGTACAAAAAATTGCACATAAAGACCAGTATCCTTTTTTGTTTTGTTTGTTTGTTCTGGATAAACTTCGCCCAACCAATGTTGGAGTCTGTTCATCAGCGCTTAAGAGCCCGTTTTGGAAAATAGGTTGTTTTGGCTCATTCTACAAATTTACGAAGTGGCTACATATCTGATTCTGCTGATTTAAGAAAAAATTATTTTTAAAATATTTTATTAAAGTGGTCACAAAGAGTAATTGCAAATGGCATAAACCAGGGTGAGAGGCGATGATTCGCCCAAGTAGTATTTTATTAATAAAATAAAGAAAAACATTATATGTAAAAATAACTAAAATGGTCATCTACAATAATTTCAGCCAATACAGCCAGAAAAGTAACTCCAACCTTACTTTTTCTGCTTATTACACAATTCAGCGTGCGAAAGTAAAAGTTACGTGTTTAGTGAAAAAGTTGGCTGATAAGCTTGATAAGTCGAAAAACAGTGTTGCCAAACGGCCTCTAAATTGACTCAACTGATAAAATCACTAAAATTATGGTGAAAATTTTCAAACAATTCAGTTGGCAGGAAAAATTTAGAAAAATGACCCAAGATCGAATGACGAGTGTTTTCCCGAATTAATGCAGATTAAATAACTAATTACCGAAATAATGCCCAATTATTACAAATCAGATACAAAACATCACAAATCATATACAAAACAGAACAAAATGACAATGATACACATCAATGTACTTGCTCACAAACATAGTATAAAAACAATATCTAATAGTTTGCAGGTGGACATACGCAACAAAGTAAAGTGTTTCATAGATAGAAAAACTTCTACAACATTCGGATACATGAATAAGTCCAATAATGGAGACAGACTGCAAGTTTTCATGGTCTTCTTGATCGTCTTGGTCATGGAGATGTGACTGTTAACGCATACGTCTACGCCGCTGCCGTGGCTGAAGAACAATTATGTCATGCCGACTCTGGGATGTAGAAGTTGCTGCTGCAGTAGATGTCAATGCCATAGAATCCTGAGAGGGGGTCATATGTATAAGATGCCCATAGGCCATAGTCCACTCGCCCCAACACATCCGGACACATGGAATCAATGTCCGTCAGAACCTGGTCGTACGTGTCCACATCATGCGTATCACTCACTGTGGCAGACTGGGCTGCAAAGCCCGTGTCCGAAATGTGAAACATGAATTATAATTATTTTCAAATAAATAAATGTTAAATAAAGAACATGAATACCTTTAGTAATTAGTAGCACACTCACCGTCAAGTGCAAAACCATGGAACTAGACTCATAATGGTGAGTAGGGAGTTTGAAAGAAGGAGAGATAAACAATCGCGTGATGCTGTAATACCATCTCATGTAGTCTACAGAAACAGATGTGAGTAATGTTGGCGTCCCAGTCACAACAAGCTCCGCTCGCCTCTCCCATATAGTCAACTAGTCAAGTATCGGACATGTCTGAGCGACCAATCCTCTATAGGCTTCCCGCGCCTATTCAGCATATACTACAAGAAAAATTGTTTTGTGCAATGGAAATTTTCATTGCCAAAGGTTGATAATTCCCTGTCCATTTCATTGGGCAATGAAATCAAATCCGTCACAAGGTCGTGTTGGCTCTATCCCTTGAAAATCAACGTGTTGACCGTGTTGCCCTTAGGTTGACATCTTTGACTATCTAGCTCTGAGAATTGATCTGCAAAATAATCGCTAAAACGAACTAAGAATATATTAGAGGCTCGAGACGCGTCAGACGCTGTCCTAAGGAATTATTTCCGGCGTACGGAAATTTCCCCCAAGATATAACGAGCCCTTCGGTTATAAAACCGGCACCAGAACTAACGAGAAGAAAATAATATATGAACCCAGTAATAAAAGTGTATTGTTTATTTGTCGTACGTATACTTGTATACACACATCCCCATATATGCATGCTTTATCATCTATAGAGGAAGTAAAGCATATACACACATATTAATCTATGAAGAGTAATATATTCATTTTCTCAAGATTTGAGTATGACTAGTATTTCCCTTTTCAAAATCTCTATCCGTTGTGGAGTGTGCATGGAGTATATATACTCCTTACTCCTCAAAGTAACGTTTCAATATTCAATGATATATATTAATTAAGTATAATTAATAATGATAAATGATTCCCCATGCACTCAAGCTAGCCACAAACGAACGTTTAGAAGATAAAAAGTTATTTTTACTAAAAATTAATGATATTAAATGTTACCTCAACATTATTACTAAAGAAGATCAAACCAAAACACATATAATACTCCCAATGTATTTTAACAATAATATTTTATTCATTTGAAATACTTTCAATTTTCCAACAATCCCCCACATATTTCAAATGAATAATATTAAGTATTTAAAAATATTAATTCCTTACTGGGTTTCATATATGGGGTGAGGTTTTTCAATCTGGTGTCCGTAGACTTGAACCAGACCTAGACGCCTAAGTCTTTAAATACCGAGTTTATTGGTGAAACGTATAGTTTCTATGAACCAATAATCTACTTTGGTAAGTCAGTGTCTTAGGGGATCATTTTTCACCCCCACCTTTCTCGTCGTTAACGCCGTTGTGCGCCTCTAGGCCGTGCGCGTGCTTGGTTTTCTTGAGTGCTCTAGAAGCGTTGTCAATGTTTCATGGAGGCGGCCCCACCTCACACTCATATAGGTGACTTCATCAAGTGTGTCCCGCACTTAACACACCACCCGTAAGGGCTATGACAGTCATTAAGAGTTTTAACTCAACCTCACAAAGAGATGCAGTCTAGCCTTCCACATCATAGAAATGGACATTTTACAAGGCTAGCAGAACAAATAGAAGACTTGTTATTACCCATTTGAACTTGCTTCATGGGATCTCCAATCACACAAGTTGGGTTCCCATCCCTATTTGTTGTCAAAGTGACATTAGTCCATTTCCCTCGATGTTTAAATTAATCTTTTAACGTCCTAGGGATTCTGTCAAAGGAGTAGCTAATTCCTTCACAAAATTAATGGAGTAATTCCATTCTTCAAACATCATTGCACCACTTTTAAGGATGAATGGATATTCACTATATTATCTCATGTGAGTCGACTCAGATGACGTCGTTGTATCCCGGCAATACAACGGATAACTCTCAACAAAATATAACATCGATGTGACACTTTTGTACATCGGATGATTTCACGAATATGTTATATCCTAACGGATAATTTCTCAATAAAATATATATCATCATTGTATCATTATCATACAATGGATAATTCTCATATATAAGATCATTGTACCGCTCTAGTACAATAGATTTATCTCAATAAAACATATCATCATTGGATCAATATATTTCAACGAATAATCTCAATCAAATATACCATAATGAATGGTACCTCTCAAGTATCTCAATATCTTTTTAAGGTATCTCAAATATCCATTTGGATTTCATATATTGACTCAATCTTCAATTCCAGCATTTTAAAATTATGAAATGTCACACACATTTAATTGTAACAGACTCACATTTTGGTTTTTATTTATATCAAAGTCATAAGGGGTATTCACATTCTAACATTGAAATGTCAAACTTCTTAAGAAGTTTTTCAATATGATGATAGTAAAATACCAACATCCATCCTTGTGACTTTAATACTCAAAATTACTTTTATGATATTTATATATCAACTCAATATAGATGAAATAAGTATATATAAAAAAAAAATTCCAGTGACAAATAATCACCAATGCACCACTTAATGTATAAACATTTTTTCATTTTTTTTTTTTGATCAAATTAATCTCAAAGATATTATAGTTTAAAGTATTGCATACTAGCAGATTAATTCTTCAATTTAAGAAAAACGTATATATGCTCCACTATTTCATCTTATATAAAAGCATCCAAAAGTTACAAAACTCATTTTTACTCAATGAGATAGGTAGTAAAAATTTAGCTAAGCACCCCCACAATTTTAATTATCCCAAACCAGGTGCATAACTCTTCTAAAATTCAATAATATCTATTTTATGAAGATAATTTCTAGCTCAATTTTTTATTTGCACACCAAGATAAATTTAAAGAACATATTAGAATTTAGTGTATATAAAAAAATCATCATTATAATGTATATAACATCATCATACCATTATAGTACGAAGGATAACACTCAAATATAACATCGTCGTATCACTTCAGTACAACGGGTAATTCTCGATAAAATGTGTCATCGTTATACTCATTTAGTACAACGGAAAACTTTATAAAATATATATAACATCATTGTATCGTAATAATACAATGGATAATTCTCAATAAATTATTCCATCATTGTATTTCTTTAATACAATGGTTTAGCTCACCAAATACATTTTTGTGTTTTCGATTTCATCTCAATCTTCCGACAATTTTGCCGGATCTCACACAGTGTGTTAAGTTTAATGGATTCACACTTTGAGCATCAAGATAAATTTCTATAAAATGAACAACATCATACTACAAAATTATTCCTAAATCCAATTCAACATATCTCCGCACTCAATTAATAATAAAAAGTGACACATAATATTTGCATCCACAATTTTTGAATTTCACCACAAATCAATTAATACCCAATATAATATACAAGTACAACGCATCTAAAAGCACAAGCACACCGCACACATGCACAATAATTATTGTACCTCAAATACCCCCACATTTTTCAATTTATAAAATTAGATGCAAAGACTTATCACATGATGAAAAATATTTTACAAAAAAAAGTCTATGATATACGAAGTATATGGTACAATATAAAATCAATCATTTCCAAGCATATCCCAACGTAGGAGATCATGCATACACAATAAGCTCCATTTTTTTTAATCACCTTTAAACTCAGTCAAAGTTAAAACAGCCATAAGATACTAAATACCGGACCGTTAAATCTAATCAGGTGCAGTAGCATATGATTCCTTTTTTTTTTCTTGTGTAAGAATCAAACCTACAATTGTTTAGAAACTATAGATCACAATAGACCTTCTAACTTATACTCCGTATACACAAATGAAAAACTAGGCTAAAACCAATCTTCTGCCCCAAGAATTTGAGAAGGCAAAAAAAAAAAAAACTATT